GGCTGTAGGAATGTAATGGAAGTCAATGGAATGTCCCCATTTAGATAGCTGTGCAAACTTGTGTGTGTGAAAAAAAAACACCAATTATTAATTTTTCAAATTCTATTTTGAAAGGAAAAAACAAATAACGAATACACAAATCGAACCAAATGATTTTGAATGAAAATGAAAGAAAAAAACAAGCACTCACTTTTGGCCTGACCTGGAACTCCTCTCTCCCCTGCAGACGCTGAGAGCGGTTTGTGTCCAAAACAGCTTTGATCGTGTCTGATCTCATTTGGGACACATTTTGCATTATAAAGCATACTTATAATTATTTGCATAGTGTGCAAAAAACTTTGCTCATTTTTGTTCAAAATCAGAAATCAGAAAACAGTTCATTATCGAAATTTTCTTTTTAGAAAAATGAAAGAAAAAAATAGCTTTCTTTCTTCTTTTTTTTTTTTTGCTTTAAACAAAAAAACAAACTGCCTGAATGTACACTGACCCCTAAACTCTATACAGTTCCAATTTACTTTTGGTTTTTATCCTATTCTAATAATTTGCCACTTTTTTCAGTTCTTTAATCTCCCTTCTCAACCCAATCTGAGTGCAGGAGCCTGAGGAACTGAACTTCAGGGTCAGCGTTTGCTCTAAATGCATCCAAAGTGTAAAAATCCAATGAGGGCACAGAGAGAAACATTAAAGGAAGATGAGAGGAACATGGAGCAAACAGTGAGACTCAAATCATTTGTACAAACTCTAGATTTGTATCTCATTGTCTTTAATCATTCTTTTGTAAGCAAGCCTATTTTGTTCTTGCACATCAAATCTCATCACACATCTTACTGATTAATATGAGAACAGAAAGACTAGGGGATTACAATCCACTTTAAAAAGATTATAAAATCTATATAATCTATAAAGATTATAAACCTTAAACTGCATCAGTAATTTTTCCACTTTGTGCTCAATGTAATTGTTTCTTTGATACCCCTTTTGTGGAAAAAGTCATTTCTTATTCCTCGTATCTGACATTTCTCCTCCCTTGATCTTCTTCACACAGTGTCTGCCACTTTCTGGGAAAACACAAATGTTATTAGACGTACAGTAACAACAAAAGCCTTGGAGAAATGGCCTTCAGGTTGCAGCTGATCCCATCTGGCCTGCCTGTCTGACCCGTACAAACTCCTCTGTTAGAGCCGTCACCCCTCTCTTCTTTCTTTCCTTTTGGTTGCTCGGGCTTTTGTTTCCACTTTGCAATGCTGGGGATGACAATGTAGAAGAGGACTGCAAAGTGACAAAAGCAAAGAAGGGAGAGTCAGAAGTTGACAAATATCAAATGTTAAAATGGAAGGACTTTTGAAGGATAGACATAAAATGCAAATATGTGACTTTAAATTCCATAGGTTCAATATAAAGTAAAATAACTCACGAAAGACTTAAAATACCCCCACAAGTTTAAGACACAAAAGATTAGGCACGCAAGATAAAAAAAAAAAAACAAAATCAAAAGAACATTTATCATTTTGATAACTTTAACGTTCCACAGACACAATCAAAAAGATAAATGTTTTAACCTCTCAGCAGGAGGAAAAAGTGGCACTGGGTGGCAGCCAACTGTGAAACTAAATTACAGAGAGCAGTTACAAAGTGCAGTACATAAAAATATCTTCAAGATGCTCTTTGAACCTCTGATAACATATCCTGATGCATCTCAGTAATCCGGGTAAAAAATCAAAAAGAAAAAAATTGTATAGGTCTTCTGGACGGGTTCTTCTCTAATGAAACGTTTCGTCTCTCCTCCAAGAGACTTCTTCAGTCTGAGAGTTTCAGGCAAAATTCAGGCTTTTAAGCCCTGCCTCCATGTGACTGATACTCACATCACATGGCTATCACTGACACCTAATTAACACCTATTGTTAACAGGGGGTGGAGTGATACTGGCAATAGCAACACTGTAGGAGGGGGACAACTGAAAATGGAGACCTCCACCTCTGTTTAATGATGGACGGTCTTTCTTCACAAAAATGGCTTCTTTTACTCCTCTCTCAAACCAGCGTTCCTCCCTATCAAGAATGAGAACATCTTCATCTCTGAAAGAGTGACCGGTGGCCTGTAAATGAGTGAAAACTGCAGAGTTCTGGCCATTAGATGTAGCTCGTCTGTGTTGGGACATTCTTTTGAACAGTGGCTGCTTTGTTTCCCCGATGTGTAACTGGTCGCAGTCCTCCTGGCACTTAACAGCATATACAACATTGCTCTGTTTGTGCCGGGGCACCGGATCTTTGGGGTGAACCAGCCTTTGCCGTAATGTGTTTTGGGGTTTGAAAGCCACTGGGACATCATGTTTAGAAAATAAACATCTCAGTTTCTCCGAAACCCCCGCAACATACGGAATAACCACTGGTTTGGGTCTGGGTTTGGGGTCTTCATTTTCACCTGAAGGTTGCATGGAATCCTGTCTGTGTTTCCTGTCTGCTTTCAGGAAAGCCCAGTCAGGATAACCACACTGCTCCAGGGCCTGTCGTGTGTGTGATTTCTCTTTCTCCCTGGCTCCTGGGACTCTGTACCACAGAGCAGACAGTGTCCCTACAAACCCAGGAGCCAGGGAGAAAGAGAAATCACACACACGACAGGCGACATGGGGATTTTTTTTTCTTTATGCGTTCCCACGCGAAAGTATTGCGTTACCTTGCAATACCTTTTGCGTTCCCTCGCRAAAGTCGTTAAACACTGTTGTGCCTGCTGGTTTATTAACAAACTCACATGTTCACCATTAGCGAGTTAGCCTACTGCTTTAATTCAGCTTCAGAATGAATATATCACACAGCTACGCATGGAAGGATGTCATTTACAGATATTTTAACACAGTGCAGCCACGCAACATCGATGTCAATTTCACGAACTTGTGGCGACCCATCCTGTTTTGGTAACTGGATATTTCAAAATAAAAGTCTGTTTTAATTCAGTTCATATACAAATCAAATTTTTGCGTGGGAACGCAAAACARTMTTGTGAGGTAACGCAAAAGTATTGCGAGGTAATGCAAAGGTATTGCGTGCAACGCAAAAGAAAAAAAATCCCCCTGTCCCCTCACGGGCTCCGTAGCTCTGACACTAAACAAAAAGAAAAAGAAAACAACTTACAAGCAGTTGGTGAAGTGATTAATAAATGGAAACAGGTGTGACAGACAGGCAAGACGAAGTAGCTGAAGGAACCTGTGAGCAGAAACAAAACAAACCCAACTGCAGAAACAAAAACAGATAGGAACAGAAAACACCTGCAGAAACAACCTGAACATACTGATAAAGTGCAGAAAATGAGAACCTGTAAAACTAGATAAACTAACAGAAACATCTAAAAACTGTGACACCTTCTGTGAAACTTATGAGGTAAAGTTCTTTTTGTTTCTTTACAACTCAAAAGGTTTGTTTACGCTCAGTTCCAGCGAACAGACTTTGCTCGTCTCACTTTAACTGACTTCTGTCTTCATTCTTCCTCCTCACCAGACCGGCCACCAGCTCCTGTAAACGTGTCCGTCATGCATCTGCGAGCCGACTCAGCAACTGTGTCCTGGGAGGTTCCGGAGGGGGACATCATAATTGGCTTCTCCATCTCACAACAGGTCTTTTTTTTTACCTTATAAAATAAACCACTGTCATGTTCGCGGTTTCATTTCCATTTTTTACGGGGAACTCAGCCATTCGCAGTTTGATCCGAAGCTTTTTTGGCAGCCCAACAAGCCCACAGGCGGAATGAGGAGGTTTATTATGATCTGTTTTCCTGCATGCTATGGTTTTTATAGACAGAATAATATTTTTTCGAAAACATTGTGGAGGTAGTTCAATAGATAAATTCCTTCAGACTTAACATGGAGAAAAACTTGTCGAAGCCTGGAGTGAGAATAAAAAACACCAATAACTCAGGAGGAAAAAAGTTACAATTCGAATGCTTAAGTTTATTAAACAGCCACACTGTTGTATTATCACATTATAATGCAACAAATATACAGCAGTTTATTAGTTTTATGGCTCACTATTACACAGCAATTAAAATTTGTTTTCTATTCAGCGTGACTCTTTAGTCAAGGTTCTTCAGCATCTTAGGCAGCTGCACTTAAACGTGTCTTGTTATTTCCCTAAAGCTTTAGTCATTACTCCGTTTGAAAACGTGTGAACGCTTTTTGACAGAACTCCCATTCAAGCAAAGCCATGAAAGCCCAATGAAAGGAGCCATCTGGCCGATTGACGCCGTAAGTGCAGATGAGAGCGAGCGGAGAGGAGATATACGGCTGCGACTGGAGGAAGAGATCTCACATCATTGTGCCTCGATCGATCCGACAACCTTGTGAAAAGGTCAGACGCGGCGGCTGAGCTCGTCCGAGCTCCTCTCACAGAGTGTTTGCCATCTAAATTAAAGGCGGCGGCGACTCCACAGCCTCTCGATTCCTCATCAAGACTCCATTTGGTGAAAAAAAGTGCAGAACTGTTAACACAATGCTCCGCAGGTTGTTCGCTGGAGCTCGGGGTATTTTCTGGTTGGTTTCTCCATCTCAAACCGGGCTGTGTGTGTCTGATTGTTTCACAACGTTTTTTGTGACTTTGCCAATTATTGATTTTAACTTTGCCCCGTTAAAAGTAATGAAGCGAAGGAATGCCACTTCCAAGAAAAGCCAATGCCTTTCGCAACGAGGCTAAAGCGTTTTTGTGTGGTCACTCTGATTGCTAATTTGCCCTCAGTATTGACTACTGCTAGAGGTCTCGGGTAGTTCAATCTATTCTGTCGCTCTCTTTTCCTTTTACTGCACCCAGAGGCAGGATGGACACATGCAGCGATTCATTCGGGAGGTCAACACCACCAGCCGTTCCTGTGTCCTTTGGGACCTGGAGGAAGAGACGGACTACATCATCCAGGTCCAGTCCATTGGCCTGTATGGGGAGAGCCAGGCCAGCAAGAAAGTCCACTTTCGAACCTTAAAGAAAACAGACCGGTTCTCCTCCAACAGCTCCAACCAAGGTATGCTGCTGTCATGTGACAATATGTTTTCTAGAGAAATCAGGTTAAAATGATGGAAAATAAATAAAATAAATAAATAACTGAATTGTAAACATCCCACATCCAGGAAACTGATAAAACAGGACATGTGCTGCATTGTAACTGCAAGTGAACAGACTATGCTTTTAAATAGTGTTCAGTACTAAAAGCTAACACTCATGTGGTATGGGGCACCAAGTGTAAAATAAAAAAATGTAATTGTCGCCAACACATTTTTATCATTGAGTTCACTTTGTGAGTGTAAAATCCTAGTTAAAAAATACCACTCACATTTTTGTTGTTTAGCTCACTGTTCTTACATTTTACTCTTTTTTACTAAATGCTATGTAAGTATTAAATCAAATCTAAATGTAAAAATTCAATCTTAAATCTTTGTTGTTGTTGCTCGGCTCTTGTTTTTACATCATCCTTCTGACACAAAGGCAACCGCAAACTTTGCTAACACTGCTAGCGCTGCTAACACTGCTAGCGCTGCTAACACTGCTAACAATTTCCTACAAGACACCAAACTTGCAGTTGCAGCCTGTGTCCGAGCTGTGCTTCAAACCATAGGTGCAGCCACACCGTTCTCGATGAACACGTTTTGAATTAGAATTTTAAACGCCATCTTCAGCAGCATTAGCACGGTTAGCAGCATTAGCTGTTGCTTTTTGCCTCAGGTTGATGATGTCATAACAAAAGCCAAGCACCAGCAGTAAAGGCTGCATTCCATTCCAAAATACCTAAGCCTAAATGTCAACATTTAGCCACAAAATTTAAGATTTAACTTTTACATTTAGATTTACAATTTAATATTTACATATTACATCCATCTATCCATTATATTTTACTCATTTCTTTCAGGGTCATGGGGGTCACTGGTGCCCATATCCAGCAGTCACTGGTACACTCTGGACAGGTCACAAGTCCATCACAGAACCACTTAGAGACAAACAAGACAGACAACCATTCACTCTCTCGCTTACACCCAGGGACAAATTAGAGTTACCAATTAGCCTAACAGTCATGTTTTTGGAGGGAGGAAACAGGTGTATCTAGAGAAAACTCATGCATGCACGGACAGAACATGCAAACTTTGCCTAGAAAGGTAGCTGGAACCTGATTCGATCCTTTGCTGAGAGACACCAGTTCTACCAACTGAGCCACCCACATACCGTATAACCTTTAACATTTAATAAAATTTAGCTAAATGTAATAACTGTGTAAGAACAAATCAAAGTTTTTGTTTGCTAATTGTGCAGAAGTGAAGCTGACTGCAGAAGCTGGTTTCGAGGCAGCTGTTTTTTAAATATGACTCCATCCTTGGCTTTTCATTCAGCATGAATCCCAGCATCCTCACAGAAGAGAACCATTACAGGCAGTCTTCCTGCTGTTACACCGAAGCCACTTTTTACTCCTCATTCTTTTTAAACGCAGCCTGACATTGAAAATGAGACACATTAAAAGACAAGTACTGACAAGTGAGAGTTCATGAGAGCTCCTTTTCACAGGCTCACCTTGTGAGGTGGGAGCGATGGTGACAGGGGAGCGCTCAGCGTGTTTCTTTTGGGCTTATTTCTCTTTTCCCCAGACATCATTATAATATTGAGAGACTCAAGAGCAGCGAGCGTCTCTGAATTTATGCAACGTTACATCAGCCATGGTGGCTTTCTGCAGCGTCTGAACCACTTTAAATTCAGGGTACGGGCTCAGCTCACGGACTGACGGAACAATGAATACCGTGACCAATACAAAACTGAGGCAGACTTACTTTCTGGCAAGATCAAGTGGTTGTAATTTTATTCATTTATTCATAATTAAATTTCTTATTTTTTAACAAGTTATCTGCATAGAAGCAAATGCAAACTCAGCAACCAGCATTAAAATACATTCACCTGAATGAAAAAAAGTACAGCTCTTGATCATGCCAAATAGTGAGTCTGTTTCCATGTTTTTTAATTGTTAATGATTAACTTATTAAGGGTTTACAAACTTATGAATAACCTATTTATGAAGCATTAATTGTTGCTTAAAAAAGGACCCTCACCCCGGATTTACACTGTGCACAGCACCACTTTGGTCCACTCCACGCACTTCACCGTCACTGTTTTCCACCCTGATTTACACTGCGTGCGGCTCTGCTGCAAAGAGTCGATGTGCTTTGATAAACCTGCACAGGAAATGCAAGATTGTGCAATAAACCCACACATTTTTATTAATATAGCTTTGATTTTGACAAAATGTAGTTTTTCTTTAATGAATTGTATGATTTTTGCTCTGCTGTTTGGCAATCGAATATAATTTTGGCCGACACCGTTCACACACACCTGCCCTGCGGATGCGGTGTAAATGCTCTCATTGATCATTGTCATGGAAATGATTTACCAAGAATGCAGAAACACATTGGAATAAATGCACAGAAAGTCTGCGTGTATGGTCGCCATAATGATTTAATCTTGAGCAACAAAACAGACGTCAATCAGGAAGTCTGTCGGGTTTGTGGCTGCCTTCGTCAGCAGAAACAGCCAGTAATATAACATTATGTTAACACCATGTGACAGTTTACAACCAATCACAGATCGACGAATGTACTGCCCAGCCAATCACAGGGCTCTCAGCTCAAAGAGTTTCTTATCAAACAAGAGAGGTCAATCCCTCGCTGGAGTCCTGTTGTCTGGGCCAAAACAGATTAACAGCCGAAAACTGGTTATAAGAAGATATGGTTACTGGACAGTGTCAAGGTAGAACAGATATATATAATTAATCCAAAACAATCATAATGTTGGCATTTTTACTGCGGAGCTTGTATCGGAGTGGATGCAGTGTAAATTGGCGGTTGCTGTGAAGGGATCGTGTGTCCTCCTTGAACACATTGGGAAGAGCTGAAGGGTGTCACTTGGGAAAGGGATGTCTGGGACCACAGCTAAGTGATAGAAGACAGATAAGTGGATGGTTATTTGCGAGTGCAAATAAAAGTAGCAGGGGCAGCTAGCTGTAGTACTTCCTGTGCAGGGTATGGAACACCCTGCAGTATTTTTGCTGGAATAATTATTTCTCCAAAGTTCAAAGAGACATCACTTGAAAAAAGTCTGAACGATCCCTTTAAATGTATTTTGGCTGTGATATTCGTCTGTAGAAATGCTGACACAAGTAGCTCATAAATGCTCATCTTTAGCTGAGTCAGACTGATTTTCACTTAATAAGCTAAAACAACTGTCTGAAGCACAAAAAACCTGCACCACATTCATTAATTGAATTCAGACACATATTATACTCGCTGTTTGTCCTGATAATGTTTCTTTAGTTTAAATAAATAAATTTTAGTTGATTACAAAGCTGTAAACATATCTCAGTAAAGTGAGAGTTATGGTCCGTGCTGGCTCGTAGAAAGATTTATTTTGCTACTTGAATCAGGATTTGCAACCTCTCTCCTAAAGTCACAGCTGAGTCTGAAAAAAACAGCCAATTCAATCGATGAGCATCATTCCTAGGATTTGTTGTTGTTGTTTTTCCCAAGCAAACATTGTCAACTTTTCATAAATCCCATGCCGACACTGCTGACTCGTCCTCTCTTATTGAGTTTTGCCGTGTAGCTCTGGAAACACGTTCAGCTGCTCAGTCATGTTTGGCACACTGCAATAGTATCTTCAGCTTTGTTGTTGACAAAATGACTTTTGAAACACAATCACAGTGTGGCTACACAAAGCACAGGTGCACAATAAACATTAGAGACAAACAGATTTTTATGTTTTGTTTGAGATAAAATTTTAAAAAAAATGAAAATACACACTAATCTATAATTAATGTCACTGGTTTGGTAGAAAATTAACCCGTATACTGGTTTAATAATTAAAACATAAAACAGTGGAAAACATCAGCAACAGCAAACCAGAGATTATAAAACTAAATCACGTTTTATTTGCAAAGGAGAGGAATGTGCATCTAAACGATGTGTTAAAACCTTTACAGTCAAAAGAGGCATTTCTGCTTCTTTAATCCTTAAATAATTTTTTTTTTTTAAAAACGGCAAAATGTGCAACAACTGTGACCATCAACTGGTGGTCCACAGGCCACTTTGAGTTTATTGGAGGGCCTTTATTGACTGCTGTGAGTAGTGACCCTTACACTTAAAACTACTGTTTGTTACATTGTAAAACTAAAAATCAATAATGCTTTAATATATGTTTGTATTTTTACATTTTAGGACCAAAGAAACGATGCTATGCATGTAAATAAGGAGAAAACAAACATTTTACAGTTTATGGGGAACCTGATCCACTATCCTGCATGTTTTAAAAGTTTCTCTGCTCCAACAACAGCTGATTTGAATGAAAAGGTGATTAATGGGCTTTATCACTGACTCAGGTTTGGTGCAGCAGGAAAAACATAAAACCATGTTTTTTTTTCCCTGTATTTCTGAAAGTTTCGTGGCTTTCGACAAATTTTGCTAAAGAACACACATTCGCTGTCCGTTTTATTATCTCCAGGTTTCCATGAGCTGTGTGTTCTTTAGCTTTCATGTTTATCACAACAGTGTGATGCATCCTGCTGCTTTCTGTTCCCTTGAAAGCCTGTTGGATCGCTCCAGCTCTGATATTACAAAACCCTTTCAGAGAAGCTCCATCTTTGCCAAGTGCTTCCACTAAAAATGAATTGATTTTTTTTTTTTGTAGAAAGTTTACTGAACAGTCCTAACTGCCAACACTATGACACTCACAAATCAATGGTTTTTTATTACGTTTTATGCGTATGTCCGTCTAAGATCTAAATACGAAAGTGTTTTATTTCTCAGGGATCGATATGCCTAATCACTCCACAAAAGAGAAAGCTTCACCATTTGTGTAGTTCAATGGAAAGCTCTTAATTTATAAACTTCAACAATGTGTATTATGGCTACCTTCGTTCACTCACTGGGTACGGGGAAGAAGAGAAAGCATGGTTATAATTTTATTTCAGGAAATCCCTGCATTCCATCAATTGGTTCATAAATATGTGCAAAAGTGAACAGCATGTTTGCAAAAAGTAGAGCATTTTAAAAACAAAACAACTGGATTTTTGTTCTGGAGTTGAAGACATTTGCCTCCCATTTGGGGAGTTTTCTCACCAAACTGGAATGTGAAGTTCTAAGCTTTTTAATGTGAAAATCATTTATGCAACCAAATCCTTTGTCTTATTTAGGTCACCTAGAAATGTGGGGTTTTTTTCAGCTTGAGTTGTGAAATATTCTGTACTGCGTCACAAACCCACATTTTTACCCTTAAAAGGATCCACATCAGTGATTTTACTTTTCTGGTCATCAGTGATGGGAAAATACATAATAATAATAATAACAACAACAACAACAACAACATAAGTCATCTTGTCGCTCCTCCTCCTCTGTCCCTTCTCCATGCAAAGTCTATCTGTGACATACGGACATAATGAGTTACTGACGTGTCTAATTTTGTTTGATCAAAAACTTTATCATTTCTCAACATTAGATGGTTTTAGTCTGAGCTATCATTTTAAGCGTTGTTTGTTGTCTAGAACTGTTTGAGTACCATGTTTCCTGACCCACACAGAGGTTCTGACCCCACCTTTATGAACCTCTGCTGCATTACACTGAAGAAATTTTGTAACTGATGAATTGAATATTAGATTCAGTTTTGTATTTTATACTTTCTGATCATTTCAGTCTGAAAGATTGAAGCTGACAAAGAGTTGGTGTGTTATCATGTGTTCTT